AATTTAATGAATAACAAGTATTAAACTAAAAATAGGTTAGTACAATGAGGGGGAACAAATAACAGAATTTAAAGTTTCTTTCTGTTTTTTCCTACATTACAAAATAACGTTTCTGTTTCCAGGCCAGAAAGCATCAAACACACCCAGTTTTCTCAGGACCAGAATGATTGAATAAAGGAAAGGATCCAATGTTGAATGTACCTCTGTTTTCCTTCCCTAACTTGCATATTACACTTTTAGTGGGACCCATCTAAGTGCTTAAACCCCCCCTTTTTTTTTGCATAAGCAAGTGCTTCAACGTTGTAGCATATATGAATGATAAATCATAACTGCTGAGAGCTCAAAATAGCATATATTATCTGCACGTACGTCTCACGGCCCAATCGTTGCAGTAAGCCGGCTCGTAGAATGCATTTCCCCAATCAGAGTGTTGGAGTTTGAACTTTGAATCTCTCACTCTTAATTTGTAATTTTATTTTAAAAAAATAAAAACATATATTATCTAATTCATTTTACTTTCCATAACAATTATTTTTTATAATATTTTTTATAATATCTAAATAATAAATGATTTCTATATTAATAAAAAATATCACTTAAAAATACGTATTGTAATTGTTAAGAAATATTAAATAGCAAAAAAATAAAAGAATTGTTCTAAGTCATGATCTCACTTTCTTTAAAAATTTAAAATTATCTAAGATATAACAGAACTCAAAACTCTCTCAGAATTAAATGTTAAACTCAGATATTGCATAGGAATTTATAATACCTAAAAAGTCACTATTTGAAGGGATGTATCCCTCCAAAAGATATCATTTCATAAAAATACTTTTTGACTGCAATAGTTATGTCTGATTTTCAGACATGTCTTTTTAAATTATAATTTAATAAAATAAAATAAAAAAATTTAAAAATAATAAAAAAATTAAAAATATATTTGCAATCAAACCTCAAGTGCCCATCTTTTAATTATATATAAAGGGTCAATACCCAATTTTCCTTGGATTTCACTTTACTTAATTATTTGTTGATAAAAAATAAACATTTATAAACTCTTTTAAGTTTTCATACTTTTTTGATGTGGGATCTCAAATATTTACAAACTATTTAACTGTAATAAGTAAAATAAACTAGTGACAGTGTTTAAGAGTTCTTCTCTCTTAACTCAAACTAACATATTTAAGAGTATTTTTTTTTCTTTTAACTATTATTATATTTCACATTTGAAAGCTTTCTAGAATAGTTTATATTTATTTATTTTTTAATTGGAAATATAACTACTTAGTACATTTTCTTTTCATAAACATAGATATTTGAGGATTTCTTAATTAGTCATACCCCCGCTGCAATAGCAACGTTGGTAGAGGAGCACCTTGCGTTGGCCAAGGCCAGGGGTTAACTCTTTTAGATGTAATCCTCAATCCTCTGTTTTCCCCTATTCAAAAATAATTGAGAACCTTCTTAAGCTTGGTTGCGGGATTTGAATTCCACCTCTAATATTAAAAAAATATATATTTAAAGATAATTAATCTTATATATGTTTATAAATAATTTTATAGACAAACAATTGAGAAGGTGCCAGTCATTTGATTGGCTTAACTTGCTAGAATTTTTCTACTGAGATGGGATGGATTAATTTAAACAACATTTCAAACACAATTTAATATCACCTTTTACCACTTTAACAAACCGCACCGGCCCACCGTATTGCATGTTTCGGTTGAAAAAATGAAGGGAAAGGAGGAGGGTAGGGAATTGAAGAGAGGAAAGAGAAGAAAGCGAATATGGTTATCTTATACAATAATAAAAAAAAAACATTTTTTAGTTCAATATGAATATTAAAAATATAGTTTTAGTATTGAAATTATTAAAATACATTTAATAAAACACTTCCTCATATTATTCATTAATGATAATTTAGTAATTTTATTATCAAGATTGCACTTTTAATCTATATTTTAAAATACATAAAATTCTAATAGTATATTTGAGTTGAAGAAAATGGAGAAAAGGAAAAGAGAGGGGAGGAAAAGATTTTTTAATCAATTAGACCACAATATTCAAAAAATATTATAATTTAATTAGTTAAAACACATTTTTCTCCCTTTTATTTCCCTTAACCTGAACATATAGTAATGAAATTTTTCTTTATCTTAATAATGGAATGAAGGAAATGAAAGTTTACTAAAAATTTGATTAAATTAGTATCTATTAACTTAAAAGTATTAATTTGAGGTTAAGTTTAGTAATTTAGACGTTTTTATTACTAAGTAGTTAATTTACCAATACAAACAGGAAAAAAAAAGTTTTTGATATCGGTTCACTTAAATTTCTCTCCTTAACTAAATAAAAAGAATGTTTCTAATTCTTGGAAGTTTGTTACTAGTAAAGGTTTCCACACTCTCGCGACAAAAATTCTGACATGTGCTCCCACTTCATCCCTTCTCCCACAAGTCTAAACCATTTGTTTTGGTAAAAAGGAAAAAAGGATGTCTCTCATTTCTTTCGACATGATTTCAAGGAGGTGAATGAAGAAAGATATTTTGAGAAACTTGGGGCTGAAATTATTAATGCACATAAATTTTGTAAATCACGTGCTTAATTATAATTTCCCAAGACTTAAATATATCACATGTCTTTAAATTCTAAAAAGGCCAAACCCCCTATTTGCACCTTCTATTTATTTTATTTTCACAGTTAACACCTTATAATATTTTTCCTTCCTATTCACACTCTCCACTTTTTCAAATCTATCAAAAACTCAATATTTTAACTGACCATAACAAAAACGTTAAAACAATTAAAAATTGTAATACGTGGCACCAAACAGTAACATGAACATTATGTCATCTTATTAATCCAATGTGGACATTTTTTTTTTTTTTATGATATGGCATAATTAAATCATAATTAATTTTAATTTCTTCATTTTCTTGTTTCCCGACATATCTTTACCATCTTCCTCCTCATCCTCCTGGGTTCTTCATGGAACCAAGAACCCAAGACGTTATGTCACATTTATTAATCCAATGTAGACTTTTATTTTTTTAATAATGTGTTATAATTAAATCATAATTAATTTTAATTTCTTCATTTTCTTCTTTCTCGGCATCATCTTCATCATCCTCGTCCTCATCCTCTTGGGTTCCTTGCAGAACCCAGGTTTTGAGTTCCTTATGGAACCAGTTTCACATGAATGCCTACCAAGTTAAAATCTTCATCCACACAATTATAAGTAAATGAATACTACACAAAAACATGATATGCATCTTCCACCCCTTTCCCACAAAAAAAGAAAAAACCATCATTGCCATTCATGTTAATCCCACTTGAATTCAAATTAGCAACCGGTTCAGAAACAATCTCCAAGCAAAAAAGCTCACCTTTCCAACAAAAAAATTATTCAAAATTGCTTTAAATAAAATAGGAAACTAAGATAAATACATTCAAATAAAAAAATGAAAAAAAAGGGTCAAAACCTAGAATCTGGGTTCCCCGCAAGGAACCCAGATCTGGGTTCCGCACAAGAACCCAAAATTTGGGTTCCTCGTGGGGAACCCATTGAGAAGAGGAAAAGAGGATGATGAAGATGGAGGATGGTGAAGATGAAGATGGAGGATGGTGAAGATGATGCCGAGGATGAGGGGGAAAGAAAAAGATGAAGAAATGCCACGTCATAAACAAAAAAGTCCACGTTGGATTAATAAGGTGATATAACGTTCATGTTACTGTTTGGTGCCACGTATTACAATTTTTAACGGTTATTAATGTTTCCGTTATGGCTAGTTAAAATATTGGGTTTTTGACGAATTTGAAAAAGTGGAGGGTATGAATAGGGAGGAAAAATATTGTAAGGTGTTGACCATGAAAATAAAATAAATGAAGGGTGCAAATAGGGGGTTTGGCCTTCTAAAAATATAAAAACAAACTCGACTCAATTTGTTTCTCACGGTATTTTGGGCCTTTTATCTTACTAGATTTGTAAGTTTTAGTATCTTATCTTATATTATGACACTTTTAGCCCCTCAACTATTAGAATTGAAGAAAATGACCCTCACTTTATAATATTTATTTAGTTCTGTTAACCAACTGTTAATTCTGTTAGTTAAAAGTAAGTTTTTGTCAATTAATAGTTAGTTAATAGAATTAACAATCAGTTAATAGAACTATTTTGTTAACTGAGTATTAAATTTATTAATTAAAAGTAAATTTTTGTTAGTTAACAGTTAACTAATAAAGTTAATAGTTAGTTAACAGAATTAATAAAATATTATAAATAAGGGTTTTTTTTTAATTTTAATAAGTGAAGGGTTAAAAGTATTATAATATAAGGTGAGATTAAAATTTATAATTTAATAAAGTAAAGGGTGAAGATAAGTTTTTGTTGTCGTTTCTCACGTGGAAAGAAAAAATAATAATAAACTTAATATTTAAAAAAATAAAAAAAAAACCAGTGGTATTTTGGTAAAGTTCTCCCATTGTCCCAAATTTCCCACCCAAAACCATGGGTGTTCTCAGGTAGTTTTCAACCCTCTGAACGCACAATCTTGGGGGCGGGAATTCGCTATCACAGAAATATCTAAAAAAAAAAAACTGCTTTTCTTTATTCCTTTTACTCTCTCCATTGTTTTCCTTCCCTTCTTAAGGCTGGTTTCCAACATCATTCCACTTGCAATGGCCCCCGGTTTTGCCACCCTCTCTTCCCTTATATATATACCCCATCTCCCTCACTATTTCAACTTACCAGATCTCATCTTTTTCATTTCAACATGATTGAATTTTCTGGGTTTGTTTAGTTTTGATATTTCTTTGTTGGGTTTGAAATGGATTTTTGAATCTGGGTGTTGCTTCATTTAACAGAGAGGTTTCGAGCTTCGAATCTTGATCCTGTTTTCTCGGTTGGGTTAATAGTATATACGGCTATAGTTTCAATCGTATTGACGAGTGGAGAAATTTGTACAAGCGGTTTCCGATCTCCAGGTGTTTGTGTTTGTCTCAGTGAACATGACTATTGTTGAAGCTGGAATGGTGCAACAGAGAAGGGGGACAGCTGCCGTAAGGCATGTAAACAGGGTGAGGTATGTTAATACGAATGGGATTTCGAAGAAGAAGAAGAGGAGATGCAGAGTGGGAAGAAGGCGGCCTGTACTGCAAGATCTCTTCCTTTCATGCAGAGAGGTCTTCAAAGGCCCTGGCACTGTTCCTCAACCTAGTGAAGTGACAAAGTTGTGCCAAATTGTTGGTACGTGAATCAATTCGTCTTCCTTTTTTTCCCCCCTAACCTTGTATTGGTTTTAGTTTCTTCATACCCATTTCTTCTAGTATAAATAATTGATTGCTTATATTATTGGGCATTAGTCTAGGGAGTTGTGCAATGAATTGTTCAGTTCCTTTTGGTATCCTAGGAAAATTGATTCGTCCTCTAGTTCTTAATTTTGTGATTTTGGAGTTATACTTAGCAAGGTCTTTCAGGTAGTGTCTAGAAAGATCAGGATTTTGGTAGATACTGTACTTTGCTAGATTATTATTCTTTTTAGTAAGGAATCTAATTTTTGTCCCTGTAGTGTTGTTCTTTTATAGGACAAACAGAAAAATAGATCATCAAGATGACATATTTATGAGAGGAATCTACTGTAGCTAGTTTGATCTGTCGAACCGGGGAATAAAATTATGCAATAATCATATCTTTAATCAAATGGGTTGTATCTTAAAAATAAAATTATTTTTAAGGCAAGCCCTTAAATTACAGTAGGCCTTGTTTCAAAGTGCAGTGTTTGCAGATTGTATCAGGTTCTGCCGAAGTGAAATGTAAAAATACTGTAGGTAAAGAGATGCTAACTGGTTTGGGTACCCCTTGTACCTGTAGGGATAAATTACTTCTTTTTGCTGATAAAAAAGAAAAATTCAAATGGGTTGTGTCTTGAATTTGAGTATTAGCACTGTTATGAATTTTTTGCTTGTCTGCTTAGATGGGCACATTGTGTTCTGTATGTTATATATACTTCATAATTTCCTTTTGTAAATTACATGAAATCTAAATTGCAGACACAATTGAGTTAATTAGATTATTAATACAAACAACTTTACCACTTTATCATTGCTACAGATAAGATGAGACCAGAAGATGTTGGGCTTAGCAGTGATCTACAGTTTTTCCAGACTACAGACAAAGTGCAAGGGAACCCAAGGGTTACGTACACGACTATATACCAGTGCAATGAGTTCTCGGTAAGAGACTAGCTCTTGAAATTAGCTAATTAAATCGCATATCAACATCATGGATTAACTAGATTAGCCTAAGATGAGATTATAATTTGGGCCATAGATAACGCTTCTACATGTTTATTAGCCTATATGGCAACAATCATTGATTGCTTGATGTACTTATATGGTTATCATAAATCTGTGATTATATATATTAAAAAAAAAAAATCACATATCAACCTTTGGTCAATTTTCTAATAGATGACAAAAAATAGAAGGTTTGCCTAGATTGTAGGACTACCTTTATTTTTGGTGATACTCTTATCTGATGTTCTGCCTTTGATCTGTTTTTGTGTTACTTTGCTCTTGTGCAGTTATGCATTTTCTTTCTCCCAGCAACCGCGGTAATCCCCCTCCATAATCATCCAGGAATGACCGTCTTCAGTAAACTTTTACTGGGACAAATGCACATCAAATCATATGACTGGGTTGATCCTGCCAATTCAGAAGAGTCTGTGCCAGCTTCACATTGTGAGTATCTCTTCTTTCTCTCTCTCAACTCAAGCATGCTTGCGCTGTGCGCTAATTCGAAGATTTAAGAACTCCTCCATGACCTATGTATATGATTTCCTTTGCAGTGAGATTGGCAAGAGTGGAAGCCAATAGTGTCTTCACAGCTCCTTGCGATACTTCTGTCTTGTATCCTACAACGGGAGGCAATATCCATCAGTTTACAGCCATAACACCCTGTGCGGTGCTTGACGTGCTTGGACCTCCCTATTCGCATGATCGGGACTGCTCATACTACAGAGATTTCCTATACTCTGCCTTTTCAAGTGAGTGAAAACTTTTCCTTCCATTCACATGCTTTGACTATTGTCTTTGCTAGCTGAAAAACACATGATACTGATTGATACTTTTTACAAATTTTTCTAATTAAATAAGGGATACTTTTTACAAATTCTTCTAATTAAATAAGGTAGTAGTACGGCTCAAACTATTTTGCATGGAAAATGACATTTTATGAATCATATTTTACTCATTGTGCCATATCTGTTAACATGAAATAGATGAGAGGAAGCACAGATTCATGAAATTTCTTCCCACAGTGGAGGCATGGCCTCGGTTATAATCACTGTTGGTTCTTTTTCTTTACTTGTACCATCAAAATCCATGGCAGCCACAACTATGAACACTAACTTGCTGTTTTCATTATGCAGATGGAGAAACAACTGGAGTGACTGAAGAGGAACGCGAATCCTATGCATGGTTAGAGGAAATAGAAATGCCAGAGAATCCACCGATGGATAGAATTGAGTACCTGGGTCCACAGATTACTGACACTGGGTTCTAGATATCTGCAGATGGTTTTTCAAGAGGAAAAGAAGTTTCTACTTTTTTTTCTTTTTTTTTTCCCTTGTGCTAGATCTGTGTCTTGTGTTCTGTGATCCAGCAATGTATGTATAGAAATGGTTCTCTCTTTCTTTTTTTTTCTTTTTTTTTCGTCTTTGGGTTAATTGTTTTAATCACAGCTTAAAAAGAAAATGAAATATAGTTTTTTTTTTTTTAAGTACATTTGATGATAAATGAGTGATATATATATTTTTCCTCAAAATCACTTCCCACCTTCTCAAGACCACTAGTAATAATTTTCCAATTCTCAATGGCCAAGACTTTTCCTAACCCAACATGTCAATTTGGGTGGAGGAAAAGTATTCCATTTTTCTCTTACATGGTTTCTTTCAATTTCTTTTAAATCAAACATTCACCAACGGCCAATAAGCAGTTTCTTCTCTTGGAGAAACCAGAGGCATTGTGGTTGGCAGAATGACTCGTGGTTTTTGAATTTCGGTGGTTTTGGGAAAGACTAGACCCTGACCAAATAGAGTGGGGACAATACGTGTTTCCAGTTTGGCAACTCTGGATTTCATCAAACTGATGTCGCTGTTTTACTTTTAAAAATCGTTACACGCGAGATGTTTCTTCCACAATATCCCACTTTTATGATAATGATGTGATATGATATTAAATAAATATATATTATATTATAAGATTAGTGTTTATTCGTCTTATTTTTAAAAAATTAAAAGAAAAAATAATAAAAAAATATCTTAATTTATGTTTTAAAAATAAAATATTTTAATCTTTTTTAATATGTATTTATTAAAATGACGTAATTTTGAAATGATATTTCTCATAATTTTCAAGAGGTACGGTGGATAAATACTATTTCCTTATATTATATATAAATTTAAAATAAAAAATATTAATTGTTAATAATTTAATTAATTTAATGATAATTTTTTAATAAAAATAAAAAATTTTAGTTTCAAATCAAAAGATATAGGAGTAAAATAAAACAAAAGATGAGAAATGATATAAGAGATGAGAAAATATTATCTTTTAATCTGTAATTAATATAAAAAAATAAAAAAAAATGCTAATCATATAATGTACTAGCTGTCATCTTAGATTGTGTGTGATATTACGTTGGAAATGTCGTAGGTGTGGTCATGACTATTAATTCCCTTGTTTTTTTTTTTCGGTGGAAACTATTAATTCCCTTGTTAAGCCACTAAAATTATTTTTAATTTACTTG